ATGGGGGATTTCAAGACTATTTTTAAAGTAAGAGGAGAGAGATTGTGGGGAGAAAAAAAGGCACGAGGGGCAAATGTTTTACAGAGGGTGGTTTGCATGTGGAATGAACTTTCAGAGGAAGCGGTGGGTGTGGGTACAGATACAATGTTTAAAAGGACATTTGGATAAGTACATGGAAAAGAAAGGTTTGGAGGGACATGGGCCAGGAGCAGGCAGGTGTGGGACTGGTTTAGTTTGGGATCATGGTCAGCATACACTGGTTGGGCCGAAGGGTCTGTTTCTGTGCTTTTATGACTCTATGCTTGTGCTCCACAGACGGCGGTGTCTGCGGCTCTCCGAGCCACGGTGCTCCAGAAGAGGAAGGTCGAGGATTCCCTGGGAACGTTGAGGAGGCAGCTGTCCCACCTCAACCAGGCCCTACTCGATGCAACCAGTCCCTGCCTGACCTCGGTAAGCTCAGGGCCTTAGTCTCTCCCTGGCTTCCGCTGAGGTGGGGGAAGGTTTAGACAAACAGGTTGGCTTTTGAGAGGAGGGACAGAGGCGGCAAGAGAGAGACCACAGAGGTTCAGAAGGATGAGAAAGGGACCTGATTGAAACTTACAGGATACTGAGAGTCCTGGAGGAAAGTTGGCGTGGACTGTCCTGGGCGTGTGTGAGATGGGGGAGCAATGTAGAGGGACTTTACTCTGTATCTAACTCAGTGCTGTCCCTGTCCCTGGGAGTGTTTGATGGGGGACGGTGTAGAAGGACCTTTACTCTGTATCTAACCCCGTGCTGTCCCTGTCCTGGGAGTGTTTGATTGGGGGGAGAGGGGAGGGGGGGAAATAGTGTAGAGGGAGCTTTACTCTCCATTCATTTCCCGTCAAAAAAAAAGCAGAGTGGAGGTGAAGCAGATGCCTCCATCAGGAGGAGAGACCAGAACCTGAGGGCACAGCCTCAGAGTGAAGGGACGGCCCTGTAGAACTGAGATGAGGAGGAATTTCTTCAGCCAGAGGGTGGGGAATGTGTGAAACTCATTGCTGCAGAGTGCTATGTAGGGCAAGTCAATGAGCGTTTGTAAGACACAGATAGATAGGTTCTTGATGAGGTTCTTGACATGATCGAATGATGGAGCAGACTAGATGGGCTGGATGGCCTCATTCTGCCCATAGACCTTGTGGTCAGACGGTCTATTTGGTACGGTGAATTTGAGAGACCAGAATTTGTACACGGATATCACAGACGGTTATAGGAGGTGACGGAGATAGCGAGGGGGGTGTAGGGGCTGGAGGGGGTGATGGAGATAAGGAGGGGGTGTAGGGGGTCTGGAGGAGGGGACGGATATAGGGGTGAATGGTTTCAGGTGAGCTGGGGTAGGCGCGGTGGGAATTTGTTTTAACCTGTGGCTCCTATTCTCTCTCTGCAAGGGGACTGTGACAGTAGCTGATGTTGTACTCTGGGGAGACCTGTACCCCCTCCTACAGGATGTCTCCTGTCTTCCAGGTACAGCGCAGCGCTCCCTCGGCGCCGGCCCTCCGACAGCGCGGCGCTCCCTCGACGCTACGGGACAATTTTCCCATGGCCAACCCACCCTAACCCGCGCATCTTTGGACTGTGGGAAGAAACCGGAGCACCCGGAGGAATCCCACGCAGACACGATGGGGAGAACGTGCAAACTCCACACGGACAGACAGACAGTTGCCCGAGGGTGGGATCGAAGCTGGGTCCCTGGCGCCGTGAGGCAGCGGCGCTAACCACTGAGCCCCTGTGCTGCCCTGGTGTGGCTGCTTCAGAAGTTTGCCGTGTTCTAGCGGGGTCCACCTTGCGCCGCTCTCCCTCTCGGTCGGTTCCGGCTGCCCCCCCCCCCCCCCCCCCCCCCCCCCCCCGCCCCTGAAGGTGCCGTTTTTGATGTGGTCCTGTGTTTGTTACAGGGGAGTTTGAGGCTCTGCGGGGTTGGCTGCAGCAGCTGAGTCAGACTCGCGCCTGTCGCAGAGCAGCAGCTGCAGTGCTGGATGGGGGTGGCCTGGAGGTCTTCAGAAGTCACCTGCAGAAGCTGCCCGCCCCAGCCCCGCTGTCCGAGAGACCACCCTCCAACGACTGTGAGGTAGGTTCCCGGAGACCATCCTCCGCACCCACCCACCCACCAACTAACAGCAACAGGAGGAGGCCACTCAGGCTACCCCGCCACCCCCCACCTCCTCGAGCCGGTCGCACAGGAATAGGAAGAGGCCGTTCAGCCCTCCTTCCTCAAACTTATCGCACAGGGATAGGAAGAGGCCAGGTTATTTTAAAAATTATTCCCGGTTCTTCTGCTGATTTTTTTTTTTTTTTGTCTCGCTTCTTCGATCTGTGACACTCGGAGGGTGGTTAAAAGTACGCAAAATCATAGAATCCCTGCAACGTGGAAGCAGGCCGTTCGGCCCATCGCGTCCACGACAACCCTCTGAAGAGCATTCCACCCAGACGCACATGCCTATCCTATCCCTCTAACCCTTACATTTCCCACAGCCAATCTCTGCACATCCCTGGGCACTATGGGACAATTTCCCACAGCCAATCCTACCCTAACCTGCACATCCCTGGACACTATGGGACAATTTCCCACCCTAACCTGCACATCCCTGGGCACTATGGGACAATTTCCCACGGC